CTGCCACCCAAATGATGCCGAAAGCGTTACTATCAGCATTTGATAACCGATCATGGATCCCTGTGACAAACATACTTCTGCGGTTGTGCAAGGGCTCTGGTTTTGGTTCTTCAAAGAATGGGGAGTCATCTTCATCATCAGTGCATTTCCAGGTCTGTAACAACCTCCGGACGTCTTGTACTTGGTAATTTGTTTTTCTCAGATTGATTCTAATCAGATTTATCATTTTGTTTGTGCATTTTGATTTGATGCAGAGGTTACTTAAAGATGCTTGCATGAATGATGAAGGACTGTTCTCAGCTTTTCTAAACCGTTTATTTAATACACTTAGCTGGACAATGACTGAATTTTCAGTTTCTGTTAGGGAAATGCAAGAGAAGTATCAGGTATGGATATAGTATTCTTTTTTATTCTTACAGGTTGCAAGTTGGTATGTGGCTTACTATTCAATCATTATGCTGCTTAAGTTAGTTATTTGGTAGTAGTAAGCATTCTAATTGGATCTTGATGTGGGTGGATTAAGTTTATACTCATCCGGTCCTTAATATAAGACCTATTTAACTAATTTGATTAGATTAGAAAAGTTAGGTAAGTTAGTTAATTATAAGAAATATAATATTTTTTCCCTAAAACACCATAATCATCTTTTTTAATATCCCCTCTCCCTCTTCTACTTGATTATAGTTGAGAGAGTATCCATAGGGGTAATTTAGGAAAAATTGATAAATATAAGAAATAGGTTTTATATTTAAGACTAAAATCAACTTAACAATTGGGTCTTATATTAAGGACCGGAGGAGTACTTTGTTACTTATCTGTTTCTTTGCATGGCTGGAACTGGAAGTCTTTGGGTTCTTGGATTTTTTGTTATGAAATGCACTTGTTATTGTGGAGGTTATCCGTTTTAAGCAGTTTTAGTTTTGTTTTCAAGATGTTACATGTCAATAATATTGAAATTAATTTGTATCAAATTTGCAGATATTCTAATAATGTTCTGTTGGCTATCTACTTTTCATTCTGTAATTATTTGGTGAAATACACCTATCGCAGGTTATAGAATTCCAGCAAAGGAAATGCTGTGTTATATTTGATCTTTCATGCAATCTTGCACGGATCCTGGAGTTCTATACTCGTGAGATTCCTCAAGCATTCTTGTTAGGACCTGACACAAATCTTCGAAGGTTGACTGAGTTGATTGTGTTTATCTTAAATCACATTACTTCTGCGGCAGACGGTGAATTTTTTGACCTGTAAGTTCTGAGCTTGTAACTTGAGGTTATAAACCACCAGGACAGGGAAATGGAAGTTATCTTTTTTAACTCGAATCTGCTATTTAACTGCATTGTTCCTTAGTATTATATATCAGATCTTGTTATTTTATCAGTGTCTTGAAAAATTGAGACTATGCGGGCTAACTTAATGTAGTTTTCATTTATGCTATTTGATAAATTGGGTTCCATTATTCCAGATCTCTTAGAAGATTTGGCCAAACTTCGGAGAAAGTAAATCGAGGCATGATTCTGGCACCGCTCGTAGGGATAATCTTAAATTTATTGGATGCCTCTAACAAGGCAGAATGCCAGGAGAGCAATGATCTTGTGGACATCTTTGCAAGCATGGACTGTCCGGATACTGTTCAATGTGGATTCCTGTATCTTCTGGATTATAACTGGGTTAGATATTATCACTCTTTGACCATGTTGAATCTTAGTCCTCGAGTCTTTATGCATTTTCCTGCTTAATGTATCCTTTCTTCAACTTCATGCAAGTCTCAAGTAGTTTAGACGTATATTTAATTGAACTGTCTTAAAACTGTATACTAGGGTCATGCTGCCGGGACCTGTTATGAGAAAAGATATGCTAGTGGCACAAAATAAGTGTTTTATTTCTGGTTCTGGTTCTTATGCGGATCTGCTTCTGTGTCAGTAGATTTTCTCTTTTGGAGTAGAGCTTTATAAGTTCCAGAGATCTTTGAAGTCATTTGAAGTTCTGCATTTTATCGGAAGTCTTATTTCTATAATAACCTCTGACAGTCTCACTGGTGTGGAGTACGAACCATTTGCAAAATGAAATGTGAGCTGTTGAATAAATTTGGGATTCTCCTGCTTTTATTTGAAATTTGCTCAGTTTCACACAGATCTCTGAAGTGGTTGTATATTAATTTAAAAGATGAATCTTATTGACATCATGCATAGATTCACTGTCTGTGATTTTCATTTTATCAGGATGGACTATGTAGGGGGGGCACTTACATTGCAAAATATGAGCAACTAGAGAATTTTCTGAGCCTCCTTACTTGCCGCACGGGAGCTCATCATGAGAAAATGGATATTGTGGAGGATGCAGATGTTGATGATGGCATGTGCTGCATTTGTTATGCGAGTGAAGCCAATGCCCGAATTGCGCCTTGCTCGCACAAGTCTTGCTATGGCTGTATTACCAGGCACCTTTTAAACTGCCAGAGATGTTTCTTCTGCAATGCAACGGTGACGGACGTTACCCGAATCGGTTAGAATGCAGACTACAAGTCCTTCACCTGAGGGTTTGCTTGGCCTTTCTGGTGGAAGTTTAGGCCGTCAGTGACTGATTATTTGATTATCAATGAACCCCAGATTTGAAAAATGACATTGCACAGAGGAAATGAAACACAGATGGGAAATAGAGGGGGGAAGTGGGGGTGGGGGGTTTAGTGTAGGGGAAATTCTATTCAGGACTTTGAAATGCTGACATCATTATTGACGTGTAATTAGTTTTTGGGGGGTTAAACACAGGCCACGAAGGAAGTAGCCATCGGTGAATGAAGAATTTTGCAGGTTAAGTTAGAGGGTATCATTATTCTGTAAATATGCGATATGTAAATGGCAAAGAAAGTCTTCTCAGGGGTATCCATTCTGTTAGCATTCTCGCAGATCCTCGTATTTCAGTATTCATAATGCTGGCTTAAGGCCATAGCAATGTACAGCTGAAGTATTCTATAAGACAAGGAAAAAGGATGTATAGGGGAAGCTGACAGGTTTTTTCCTCAATTAAAGGGTTGTTTGTATTCCTGCAGAAGTACTTTTAAAAAAAACTTTTTCGTAAATCAAGATACACTTTTTATATATTTATTTTGTATATTGTAAAATTATTTTTAGAATCATAATTGGGTTTTTATTCAAATATCCCTTAAATATATTGTAGCCGCAAAACCTACAAGTTAAATGCTTACAGTTCAAGGAAGAATCTGAGGGAAAAAGTGCTCCGAAAATATTTTGTTATGCTTTTCATTTATGCGTGACAAAGTTTGGCCCTAAATTTTATGACTTTAAAGTTTATATGTTTTATATTCCTAGTTGTGGAGGAGAAGCTTCTCCATTGTGTAAAGCGCATAGCATGGGTATAGGTTAAGCGAATGGCATGAAACTCGCAAGTTTCTGACGGAAGATTACTTGGTTAGGGATGAATTAATGATAGGGGAGTTTTTATATTTTATCCGTTTTGAATTCATGCATCTTGTTAAAATTATACTACTCTGATTCATAATATAAGTTATTTGTAACATATTTTCACATATTAGGAAATGTATTAAATTAACAAAAATTTTGAATTTTACTCTTGTTTTTGCTCTCTACGTTTTCAAATTATTTTAATATTTTTTTCTCTTTCCAATGCAAATAAAATAACGGTGAAATTGAAAAGCAAATATTAAATATATTATAAATAATTTATATTTAAGATTAAAATTTTTCCTTACAAGTTACTCATATTTAGTACCGGAGTGTTATTAGTTCCCATTTTAAAAATTTAAATACTTGAATTTGTTGCGCTGATATTACTTTCGTTATACTATTAATTAAATGTGTTGAATGTGTCGGTGAGGATTCCTCAAACTCTTTTTTCGATAGCAGGATTCTTCAATTTGATACAAGTGACGTCTACTAAAAAAGTGTTTGGATGAGTGTATAAAATGCTTTTATGTAAATTAAGATAAAATTTCTTTCAAATATTTTGTACATTGTAAAATTATTTTTAAAATTATGACTTGGTTTTTATTTAAACATCTCTAAAATAGATATTTAAAAGTAATTTTACCGAGTTCATTGTACACTTAGGGGGTGTTTGGATAGAAACCAAACCATGGTTTCAGAAGTGTTTTTACGGATTACGAAGTAAATTATGAAACCGTGGCTTTAGTTTTGCCAAACACCCCCTAAGTGTACAATGGAAATTTGCATAGATTTCTGTAAAAACATTCCAGACACTCTCCAAAACTTGCTTGGAGAATATTTTGGGAAGCTATGGCTAAAAGAACATAGTAATAAATAAAGAGGACATTTGATCAAAAAAATTAAATTGAGCAAAATTTTAGACGTCTTATCATTTGTCAGCGTACTCTTCTAAAATTTTTTACCCTAATTATACTTAATTAATTTATTTAGCTTATTCTAAATAAATTTAAAAGTAATTTTACAGAGTTCATTGTACACTTAGGGGGTGTTTGGATAGAAACCAAACCATAGTTTCAGAAGTGTTTTTATGGATTACGAAGTAAATCATGAAACCGTGGTTTTGGTTTTGCCAAACACCCCCTAAGTGTACAATGGAAATTTGCATGGATTTCTGTAAAAACATTCCAGACACTCTCCAAAACTTGCTTGGAGAATATTTTGGGAAGCTATGGCTAAAAGAACATAGTAATAAATAAAGAGGACATTTGATCAAAAAAATTAAATTGAGCAAAATTTTAGACGTCTTATCATTTGTCAGCGTACTCTTCTAAAATTTTTTACCCTAATTATACTTAATTAATTTATTTAGCTTATTCTAAAATTAAAATTAAAATTAAAATTCTTTAAAACATCCAAAAAAAAAAGAAATTGAAAAACAAATTTGGGGGCGTAGTGTGATGCCAGGTGGTCCATGGAGAGGCTAATTTTTGCTGATTCAGTAGTTAGGAATTCTCAGTTTCCCAGATAGTGTATTTTGCATTCTTGAATTCAAGAGATGGCGATGACGAGAGAAGAATAGATTACTTTGTTAGTTTGTTATAATTCATTGACTATAGTTTCTATTAGAACCAAAATCGTTCCGTTCTTGTATTGGGTCGTCGTCTTCAGGATTACTGTATAGCGGAGAGCCAGAAATGGCGAGCTCTCTGCAAGTGCGAGCAACGAAATCACCACTTTGTCCGCCTTCCAAGAATCTTTTCGCCGGCAACAACATCGACGCCGGCCGTCGGAGACTACTCTGTAGGAGAAGACCTCCTCTACCATTCGTTTCTTTGACCCTACAATCGCATTCTAATGCAGCTGCTCCCTCGACTTCCGAGCCCTCGCATTCGCATTACACCTTCTCCGTTGGATCTTCTCCAATTTCTCCTTCTCTTCATCTCTCTCACTGGAATCTTACCAATCGCCATATCGCTCTTCTCAATGTTATCGCTTGCGCGGTATATTACTTTTCTTTCTTTCTTTTATTTGGTTCTGTTACTTTCACTTGTGGGTTCTCTTTCAGCTTCACCAAATTCGTTTCCGGAATTTCCTTGTTAATTCTATTTCAGAATTCTGTTTCGTTATCCTGCAATAAATTCATAGCTGTTATGTTGTGGTAAATCCGGAACCCTGCTTCACAAAAGTGAATGTATATGATGCGTATCATGTGGTGCATGCACTTGTATATGGTAGAAATGGTACATTGGAAGAGAGATGTTTTGTGAATGTATGTATTATATCTGAAGGGACATAATGAATATATATAATGATAGGAATAATTATACAAATAGAGCACTTGAAGAGATATAACGAGGGAAAAAATATATGATCGATATAATGATATGGAGATGTTAGCCAGAGTCGCATTCTTTTGTGTCGTTTCTATTAATGCATGAACGAATAGATGAAGGAGACAGAATTCATGTGCCGGTTGCTTTTTTGTTGGAACTTTTGTAACTTCTTATATTTCCTCTCGCTACATAGACTCTTCGGATATTACTATTTTTCTCCCTCTTTTTGCTTGTAATTTTAGTTAGATGTAACTGGTAAAGTCATGTCTTGTTCTGTTGTGCAGACGGCAATATCTACCACATGGCTGTTTTGTTCTGCAATTCCCACGCTTCTGGTTTGGGTTCTTAAAACTTGGCTTCCATGACTTTTTATCTTATTGGATTGCTTTTGGAGGGATTAATTTAGACCAATGTATTCAAATTGCAATGTTCCTTCTTAATAAAGGCTTTCAAGAGAGCAGCAGAATCAATGGAGAGGCTGATGGATTCCACAAGGGAGGAGCTTCCTGATACAATGGCTGCCATTCGACTATCTGGGATGGAAATATGCGACTTGACAACGGAGCTCAGTGATGTTGGGTATCATTATTAACTGCAAATTCATTTTGCTGATAAAAAAATATCAGTAAACTACTATATGGCGATTATTATTCTTAATAAAAATGCTGCTATTCTTGAGTTAAAGCGTTATTTACGTTAATTAAAGTGAGTTATCAAGCTGATCTATGATATGAGTATACAGCTTTCATATTTGATTACTTAAAATCTGCAGTCAAGAGATTACCCAAGGTGTGAGGAGCTCCACTCGAGCAGTCCGCGTAGCTGAAGAGAGACTTCGAGGTTTCACAACCATGGCTTCATCAGGTACTTTCCTAATTATGCTGCAAAATCTAGTTGTCTAAATTTTAGACATAAGATTCTTTTAAAATGAAAATAAAAATCTATTTTGGTTCTTATGTCATGACCGTTACTTTAATATGCTTCATGAACATTTTGTATCAATTCATAGCATCTGAGAATATGATCTGGTTGAATCAAATTATCTGATCTTCGAAGAATTTTTTATTGTCTTAATACTCCTAGAAAGGGAAAATTAGAGTGAAATCATGCATTGGATTACTAAAGTGATGCAAAAAGTTTGAAGCACTGGATTAATAATTAGACTATTTTCTATGATCAAAATAAGACTTCTGTCATTAAATTTGGGGCTGTGGCAAAGAATTTCACTTCATGATCACTTTGGTTAGCTTCATTGCAGGCAGGGGCGAGCCCGAGAGCCCAGCCAGTTGAGCCTCTCGTAGCAAAAAATGCTAGGGGCTTGAGAGAGGGTCTTGTGAAGGGTCGTACAATCTTGCAGATGTTTTTCACTCTTACCCATTTTTCAAAGTTTGCTCTTAACTACATCACTAGAAGCAGAAAGAGTTAGGGCCAAAGAAGATGCTATATGTTCCTGCTGAGCAATATAGACGTTCTCTTCTGTATATTTTTTGTTCCTCTCTTTTTCATGAGAACGTGGAAATAGTTATGGATTATGCATTTCCCTTTAGACTAATGACAACGCATTAAGGTGGAATAGAATCGAAGATGCTTCACGGCCTATTTGGTATAAAGGAGTTTGGCACTCTGGAAACCAGATGCCGATAAACTCTGGAATAGTTCTTCCCATAAAGGGGTTGAGGGACCTTTTCAGATTCTCGAATACATTGGTTACTGATTTTTTTTTTGTTTGGATCTAATGATTTTCTGTTGATTTGTGGGTTAATATAGGGTTTGTCCATCTTTCCTGTCGTGGTTCTTCGCATATGTCAAGTTCAGCATTTTTTTTTCAAACGTCGTTTTTATTTTTGTGTAGGTAATGTTCATGGCATGCTAAATATGTTACTGTCATACTATGCGTTTATGGAATATGAGAAAGTGCTATATTATGTGCGGTCTGTGAATTGCAGAACTTGTCAAAGATTTTATATTTTGAAGGCCGAATAAGGCATTTCTTTTTATCACATTTTTCATTTTCTGTGTGATTGAATGATGATGAATGGAATCTAGTCTTCATTTTTTAATAAGATAAATACCTTTTTTCCTCAATATCAAGAAGGTAGATTAGTTTAGTTAGAAACTTCAAGTATGTGGGTAGACATAAATTTTTTCTAATAATAACCTCCAGGAAATTGATTAAAATAGTTCATTTATTATTGGATGTGTTACCAGTATTTCTCTCCTTGTTTTAACAAGGATATAAATGAAAAAACAATAAATAATCTAGATAAAAGTAAACTGTTTTTTTATAATAATAAATAAAATTATAGGGTAAAAGTACATACTAGTTCTCAGGTGTAGAATTTTTTTTTTTTTTCCCCAATCAAAGAACGCTGATGTTGCAAGGGTATGATGAGGACTGATATGACCGCCAGATCAAATGGAGGGACCGTTGGCCGAAAGGAAAAAAAATCGGGAGGGGCCATTACCTGAGGCCCTAACAATTTTCAACATCAAATATGATGATGTCTCTGACTAGATGATACTCAGTGCAACTAGTTTACCTAATTTTTTGGGGAAACAAAAGAGAGCTCAGCCATTTGATATTTGAAGCAGAAACAATGAGACCAGGGGGACGACGTGCATCGAGGTTAGACCATGATTACTGTTTCTATTCATATTCATCGGGGTTAGACGTGCATCGATGTCAATATTCATATTTTATAGTAAGTTCAGCTATTGATACGTTTTGAACACAAATACGATGGCCCAACATCTAATTGAACCATTAAAATGGCAGAACCCCTGCTGCCTCTTTCAGTATAGTACTTGATTAAGACGTCCAATAATAAAAGGCCCCCAAAAAAAAAAACAAACCTTGTTTAACAAAACCCTCAAATTAAGACTTCCAGATTCTCGCATGCGCAGCAAGAACAGGGAGGGAGGAAGAAACCCATAAAGCTAGAAAGACGAACACAGAGCTAACATTATTATTAAGCAGAGAGAGAGAGAGAGAGAGTTTAAAACCTATGGGGCTGCAAATTCAAGTAGTAGAAACGTTAACTTGGCCACCTTGCCCTTTGGTTAATGGCGGTCTTGATGGCTTCCTGAGGTTTCGTGATGTTCCTTCTCCGTATTTCTTTTCAGTTGCAGAGTCGAGACCAAGGCACTTGGAAACAGCCTTCACCAATCGTTCTATGAAATAACAGGGCTTGTATAAATTGAAAGCCCTCTCTCTTTCCGTCTCCATAGTGTTTTTTCCCCCCAAATACCATTTAGCTCCTTCCCCTTTCTTTTGCTGCATCGGTTCTTAAAAGAGTGCTTATTGACACGCCACTTCATGCTTCAGCTTTCCAACATGTTGCAGCAATTAGACGCGTGCCGCTTCGGGTACCTTCACGTGCATTTTCGGTTCCAATTTATCAGTTTCCCCTTACATCTTGCTCTCGTGCTTTCCATGACTAATTCAGATACAATTATATCAGCTTGTATTAAAAGACGAGGGTTTTGGAATTTGAACTCCTATAAACTGCACCCTGCACTTTCTATAATATTCTGCTAAAATGAATACGTTATATCATACACCAAGGATCGTTTTGGAATGTTGTGGAAGCCTGTTCATTATCAAATAATAACAACATTTCGGTCGGGAGATCCTATTTTAACGTTTTCTTTTCTCCTGCCCCGAGTCCCCGTCATAGTCAGAACGGCTTGTTAAGATTAAACATTAAAATTGTACATAAACCCCATCATTTTCGTGACTTTCGTCTGTTCCACCAGGTGCCAGGTTCAGTCCCAAAATACAATCAAGCGTCAGATTACTCAGCCGAAAGTTTACCGTCCTTTAATTGAATAAATATCATACCACGAGTCCAATCCCATTCTTTTATCAGAAGTCTGTTCTTTAAATTCTTACCGTGGCCATAAATCATGATGAGCGTGAGACCATTATGGGAAATTCGGATTCGAGCAGAAGTAAGGAACTGGGAAGATTATACAGAGCACTGAATAAAACTGATGCTAATTATGTTGATAAATTCGTGGGATCATTTAATGATATGACAACATATGAAGTAAGAATCAGCTTTGTTTTGGTTTTCTGCATCTTTGGGTAGGAGGGGAGTCAGGTGCAGGGTCCAAACCCAGACATTTGAGAAAGGCAACCCTAGCTAACTGGAAATAATGGCAAGGGTGGAACCGGGAGGAACCCTCCCTCTCTCCAAATTCTTCTGCACTCACTATCCTTCTCGTTGTTCCTGATGATACTTCACCTTTTATACTGCGATTCTCTCCCCCCTGCAAAATTATGTAATTCCCATCACAACAGTACAATGACAAGCTATTTGTGCGTGTATCAGTCATCTGTTCTCAATGTAAGAGTTATAAATAAACATGGATTCCCTAGCTCTCAGGATTCAGGAATTTAAGGACATCACATTTTGATAATCTATCAGAGATCTTTGCTTTTCGACTAGGTAAACGACATGAAAGAAAACCAGAGTGATTTTAAGCTGGGCAAGTTCAATAATGAACGAGAACATAATTGCAACGTGCAAATGTTTGTAGCCTTAGCAGCCACTGTTTAAGCCAGTAAGGCAAAAAAACTTTATACGTCCCAAAATGATGCTAGCACGATTATAATGCAAGACTGAATCAAAACCAGGAGGATTATTATGTAGTTTAGAACTTTAGATTATAGATCTCATCCAACAGAACACCACAGTTTTTTAAATTTTTTTTAATAGAATAATTATAAATGGATGTCGAACACTTGATGAGCATAAATAGGATCAATCAAATGAGAAAACGTTTCGGATCTATTAGTCCTTAGCAAAACTCCATTTCCACTGGATCTATCTCTAATGTACTTTCTATACTGTCCCTCTAATATTAGCAAATCTCAGCCATTTTGAGCCAATCCAGAGGGGCTACCAAATTCCTAAACAAATACTCGCTACAGGGAAGGCAGAGAACAGTGGCAGAAAAAAGAAATTTTGGGTGGGTATTAGAAGCCAATGGACAATTTGTAATTGCATAGGTCTAGGTTAAATCGAGTTATATCTAAACTTGTCGATAATTACAATCTGTCCTTGAAAACACTTCTTGGGACCAATCCTACTCACTTCTTTCTCCGTCTAATTAGGGATACGTTATCCAGAATAAACAAGAACTTTCCTTATCTTCGAAGTCCCAAAATTAGAAAATACCCAAACATAAGCAATATACAATGCGGAATGATAAATAAGAACATTAGAGGGTCCAAATCTGAAAGGAGTGGAATACTTCAAGGATGGTGATGACTTTCATCCTCTATGTCCAATTCAAATACTAGCTATTAGGTTAAAGCTAAAATCTGAAGGAAGAATCAATCAGATGAACAAGAACTATTAAACCATCTAATTATTGCTATGGATAAACACGATGCGGTTGTTGCTTGGAGTAAGAGAAAATCAAGATTTCAAATGCCATCTAATTTCTTCGTTTCCACGATAATTAGGTTTCTGAGAGGGTGAATTAAGAACTTAAGAATGTTAACAATAAAAGAAAAGGTTCATATCCCTCCTCCACAGATCGAGACACCAATGTCAAAAGAGAACGAAGAGAAAAGGAAAACAATCTATGCCAAGCCGAAACACCGCGATTTCTTTGACTAGATGAAGACCAAGAAATACATTAAGTTTAAATATCAAGATCATAAACCCAAATTCTGCGAAATGAGAGGAAGATATTAAAAATATAAAGCAAGAAAGAAAAATTCGGTACCTGTGTAGCCAATCTTCGGTTGATTACGAAAGTAGTGGTCGAGGGATCGTGTTTAGCACTGGGTTTTTCTACCTGTCGAATCTCATCGAAAAGGAAGCGACTGGTAGATGCAGATTCAGCAGCGGTGGGGCCCTCCGTGGCTGCGACGGTGGAGGCATCGTCGGAGGAATCCAAGGCGAAGACGGTGAAACAATATAGAAGAGCGACGAGGAGAAACAGAACCACCAGCTGAATCCAAATCAGCCATGGAATCCCAGAGCTCTGAAAGGCAAGCACGTCCCCAGGATCGAACATAGTAATTAACAATAATCTGGGGACATAGTAATTTAGATAGCAAATTTAAGAAGAAAGAGAGAAGAACATTGATTCGTTGACGGGTTGAAGTTGAACTTTGAATTGAAGTAAACTTCAACACGAGGGAGAGTGATGAGAAAGGATTCCCTCTGGGTCACTGGCACAAAAATGGTGGATTTTCAGTCATTTCTATGAGAAATTCAGGCTGAAGGTTCACGCGCTTCCTTCTGCGCGTGCTAGAACTCGCTTCAGATTCCGCCCATCCTTTTCTACTGCCTGGTAGACGTTGACATGCCAGAAGGTACTCGACAGTAGACACCGCTCTTCCTTGTTTCTTTTCTTTTCTGGTTAATTTTTTTTCTCTCTTCATGACCCGAAAAAATGGGGGGAAAAAGGTATCAAAGGAAGGAAAATAATGGTAAAATTGACATTTTAATAATCTAACTTTAGCTAAAATTTGGAAATATTTTTTTTATTTTCGGAGGATAAATTTTGAAATCCTAAATTAGTTATAGTTTAGTTGATCTTTTTGTTAAATACAAACTGCAAAAAATAGTTGCTTTTTATTTTGTAATATAAATATTTATTAAATGCATCAATGCGATTGAGTTTACAGTTGTTTGTAGTATGCTGGGATAACTTTTTTTTTTGTGTAGTTGGGTTAATAAATTACCTTGTATAGCCTTAGTTAATTATCTTCTTCAAATTAGTTCTAATTTAATGCAAATTGAATAAAGTGACCCTAAAAATATAAA